TTTTAACTGAGAAAGTTTAACAAGTATGACTTATGGGCTTCTAAAATTGGCAGTAGAAAAATGAGCTGAGGAAGTCATGGAAAAAAACCACAAGCGAGGCCATTCCATGTTATGCACAATTTCTGGGCTCTTTTTCCAATCTTCTGGTTTTTTTGGATGGTGGAAAATATTTTCCAGCTACACAGGCCTGGCTTCACTGAGTATGTATTTATGCCAAGTTTATAAAAAGCAGCTGCAGACATGGTTGAATGAAAGGATTACACTGCTGTCTGTCCTCCAGAAGGTGCTTCAGTTCACACCCTGTCCCACAGAGCGAGGCTCACTTCTCAGATCTCCATGAATTTATGTAAAGAAGGACAGAATTTGAACCATACAGTACAAACTATGGCTGTGCACACAAATGGGCATGCACACATGTACATATGGCTATCTGGCTAGTTAGTGGCAGTTTCTGGCCACTGCTAATGCTGGCTTTTAGTGCCTGAAGCTTACCACCATTCCTCCAACCTCTCCCAACCCTAGTCCACCTTCCATGAATACAATGGGGAGTGGGCTTTCAGGGTTGAGCCCCTGGTCTCAGTGTATTTCTGCTGCCTGCTTCACATGTACCTGCTCTCCAGCTGCTCCCACTGAAATTCAGGCTTCACCAACCTCACGTACTCTCAGGCTGCCAGGCTTTAAGGCTAGAAGGGATTTCTGTGAACATGCAGCCTGATCTCCTCCACAGCACACTGCCACTGAATTTCAATCAGGAATCCAGGCAGCAGAGGCATAACCTTAATTTTCAGCCGTGCCTTGTCACAGCCTTGGCCTGATACACTACTCACAAGAGGAAAGTCACAAATAATTCTTCACTCTCCTAAACAGAATAGCTCCGGGGGCAGGGGGGGAAAGGACACAAGCTGAAAGTAAATGCATATAAAAAGGTAAGGTAGGTGGTAAGCTGCAGATTGTGCATTACAGATCTGTACCCTGCTGTTTTTGCAGTCGAGTATCTTAGAATAACAGTACTGAGAACGACAGTGTTACATCAGGAATATCGGTCAAGACAATATTTCCTGGCAATTGTTTGAGAAATGCTTTTCTCACAGCTAATTGCTCCCTAGAGGCTGCATTTTCTCTGTTTTTAGAAGGAGAGCGATTAAGAAAGGTTTTTAAACCTCTGCACCCTGCTGTAGGACAAAGAACTGTGGGGGAAAAAGGAAAAAAAGAAAGAAAAGAAAAAGGCACAACAGCTGTAATGTTCTATGAAATGATTTTGTTCTGTTCTCTTGCCGGGGTGGTGGGTGCAATCATCAGTTTGGCAGAGATAAATACAGAAAAAGGAAGACATTTTACAGAAGCTCCAGCTGCAGGAGTACCACATTGCCATCTAGCGACACCGGCTCTGGGAAGCTGAAACACATGGGGCTTTGCAGGCTCTCTGTACACATGGGGCTTTGCAGGCTCTCTGTGCCTCCCACACCGGTGCCTGCCCCTGGGCAGAAGGCAGCTACCTGGACATGGGGCCTCATTTCCTTCCTGTGCTTTACAGCCAAGCTTGAGAACTGCAAAACCACTTGGTCTATAAAAGACATGTGTAGGAAGGCAAGGGGAAAATGGAAAAATTCCACCCAAAGGAAGTTTAAGACAAACTTGGCTTTTCTGGGATAAACCTGGCGCTTACACTGAGGCCCACAGATTCTCATCTTCCATTGCTGCTGCTGTTGCACACAAAGTTACCACACCTTGGGCATCTTCTGCAATTGTCATATGAATGCCTACGGCAAAATGATGGGCCAGAAGGAGCATGAGCACTACCTTGTCCCAAGGAGACAGGCCTGAATCTTGACCTGATGTGCTGTCCCCAGTTATGCTGCCAAACACCTCAGTACCTGTGTGCCCAGATGCTATCCTGCAGTGCCAACTCTGATAATTTGACTCCACTATGTGCCTCTGCAATTACACATTTCCTTTGTATTCTGAAAAGAATACAAACGTTAACCTTTCAACACTTTAAAAAAGAAAAGTCAAAATGCTAATAAGCCCCTTAGACAGCAAAAGGCAGGCACTCGATCTTCAGAAGATACCTAGCAAAGGGCAGTGAATGAATACTTTTGTATGACCTTCACACAGGAAGTTAAAAAGAAAAAAGAGCTTTGGTGTATAGAAATTCTGACAATTCATTGAAAGATGTTAAATTGGAAGATCCTGGATGCAGCAGACATATTTAACCAGAAAACAAAAACACTCCCAAATGCCTGAACTGCCAGAAGAGACCATCATTTTGGGAAGCAATGGCAGAAGCCTCGCATCAGGCATCCAAGACTGCCCACAAAGCTCTGCTTCGTGGCACATGCACTTCCCACTGGAAATACATGATCACTCTCACACCTTATGGGCACTGAAAGATGATTAGTAGCAGACTGTATTGGCTGTGGTGCATAGGACAGTATGTCTAGCTAATCATTAGCTCTGTCTCTTTGGTCCCCGAGTCCTATGAAGCTTCACAAGAGCACAGCTGTACTGCATTTGCAGCAATGTCAATAAGGATGACATTCTTTGATATTATCAAAAATAATGTAGTCTTCCAAGAAAAAAGAAAAATGCAGTAAAGTTCCCCAATATGAAGATAATCTATGCTGCTCCAGTGAATTACTCTTACAGCAGCATTTCTTCAAAAACCCAGAGTGATGGCCTCTACAAATTCTTTGGTGACTGAACACTATGAGGACCTACGAATACTTTGAATTTACAAAACTACTTCTTCATCAATCAATAACAAAGCTTGTGTTGTCACCCCCCGAGATCAAGCCCACATCACCTGCAACATTATCAGGAGCTGGGGAGGCAGAATTTGAACAGTAAGATTTTAAAAAAGGAAAGCCATAAAGGATCCTGAGTCTGAGCCGTTGCTGGTTCTGTCAGACTGCAATCTGGTTCTTTTTTTTTCTTTAAAATCAGGGTGAGATCACTATTTTTCTTGAAAATGTGCTGCCCAAGATAGGAAACATCCATCTGTGAAAAGATCTAAAGTCTAATGACAAATATTGTCAGGCCTGCTGAAAATCTTCAAGGGCAATGCAGCAGACAAAACACTGCTCCCGACCTTGTCAGTTGGGACAAGGTCCTAACACTATCCTGGAAACAATGAAAATGAAGGGAGGGATTCTACACAGAAGCCAATTTTTTTCCCTGTTTCCCATTTTGTGACATAAACCAGGGGGAGAACACTGCCCCAATATCAATACAGTTCATCCCTGGGACTCTGTGCCCTTTAGAAAATCAATATAACTTCTGAGCACTTACTTCCATGGTTGCCCAGAGAAGCCAAGGTGCCCAAGTGGTTAGTTAGCTCAAGCTTCCACTAAGAACCAGATGGTCCATTGGTTCTTGAGGGTGGCAGGACACACCAGTCTGATCATCTGACTTTCTGAATATATGGCTACCACATATCCAGCTCCTGCCAGGCAGAAGCTTTCCAGAAACCAGCTCCAAAGCAGAAAAAGGAGGACAGAGCCAAATGGCCAACAGATAACATCTGTTCTAACCACCAAGACTTTGAAGGTCAAAAGCATGATTTAGAAGGCTGCATTGTTTTTAAGGATGGGGCAGCTGTCCAAAACTGGGCTACAACTTTCTCTCTGTTAAGTTTTCAACCGTTTTATCAGGTTGTCAAGTTTTCACAGTTTGCAATCCACCATCTAGTGGACATTGACTCACTGCATTGCCTTCTAAGCTATTTCCCTCACTTACACCTGCTTAATACCTGTGACCCAGCTTTCCTATTTGCATGATGGTGTCACCAAATTTCAGGCACTACAGTGTGGGCTGATTACTAAGTTTTGACAGAACAGTCAGAGTTCCTTCTAAAGTTACTATCCAACAGCAAGCTAGATTTTTGAAAGATTGCTTCTTACATTTACAATGCAGAAGGCACCTATGAACTGCAGGACTGCCAGCAGAGCAATTAACCCAGTGCTCGACAGCTCATGTTCTTTGATTTCAGCTGGGACGGGGGAGTTGTGCTTCAAATCTATTCAGTTAGAGAGAGTGTCTTTAATACTTTTTTCTTTTAGTAGGTTTCATGATTTATAGGCAAGTCTATGGTTGGTTGAGGTCTGATTTTTCCTGATTACACTAGTAACTACCGCTGATTAGCCAACTACTCTGAAAGGACTGTGACGTAAGAAAAGAAGCAAGCTTTAGAGCTTCATACATAATTCAGATAAAACACCCACACAATTGCTACCAAAACAATCATACTATCCTAAACCTTACCTTCTCCCTTCCTGTGTCACTGTCCCAATGTCCTGCTCTTGACTGCTTAGGTTTCCATGAGGAAAGGACCATGCAGAGTAAATTACGGGATCAGGACCGCAGGTTGTGAGCTTGCAGAAGCAGAGACTTCATCTTGACAGATTCTTCAGAGTGCCACACACATCTCTGCTGGTACAGAAGTAATAATAATAATTTCATGCTAAGAATTCTGCCAGTGTCAATGGCCAGTAAATACAAAGAAGTAAAAAAGGGCCCTGAGTTGTGTTAGACAACTTCTAACATAAGCTCAAAACTTCAGATGGAGAGATAAAACCAAATGAAACATAAATCAAATAGCAACCCCTCATGGTTATGCAAATTCAGGTGAGTGTCATTATGTCAAATACTCCAATTAGAAGAACTCCATAAACATGGAGGCTGTAACTTGGAGTCAGATGGGGCTTATCTTCTTTATACAGGCAAAAGCTTCCACCTCCTTAATTCTAGGAGTTGGTAGTCTTCATCACCGTAACTTACAGGACCAAGCAATTACATTATACCAGGTCAATGTGTGGTGAAAGTAAATTTCCATCAAAATCAAATTGTTCCCACCAATAATGAGATACTGCTATGAATTGATTAGGTGTGTACTATCAATTAAAAACAACAGAGAAGAGTTTCTCAAAGAACATGCTTGCTCAGGAATCCCTTTTCTCCATTTCTCCATTTAATTAGTCATTGCATTATAATGAACAAATTCATGCAATAATCATTGTAATTTTAATCATCAAAACTGAATGTACATTCTTTCTCATTAAATAATATTAAATACAACAAGAGATGCTAACCAGGTTGTTTCAGAACTCCAGGAAATGCTCTTTTACATACACGCCAAAACAGGCAAATATTGTTTTCTTACAGCAAAATTCTGTATCTTCCAGGCTATGTTACAGAGTGTAACATAGACAGTGACCTAAGGAAGGAGGAGAAGCATGGTTTGCTGAGACAGTATCTTTTAGTAAACAGCTCTCTCTAGATACTTGTCATGTTTTAAGCAGACTTTGAAGAATTTCTAACGAACAAGCTGAATGCTTGGAAAAATGTTGACTAACAGTTACAAGGGTGGAAAATTTCCATTTACTTGTATGGCATAAACATACACTTTCCCTCTGCAAACACAGACCAGGAAGCAGAGAAAAATCACTTCTGAGGTGTACAAGTAGTTAAGATTCAGTTTTGAGCCAGGATGTCACTACAATACAAATATCTGTCTCCAAGGCATGAGGGAGACCCTATCAGCTCCCTTCATGTCAGCTACAGGATCGCAACAGGGTAAGTAGATTTTGCCACCTTATTTGAAATTCAACCAGCATTGAAAATGCATCCTGTCACGAACCTATAACATCTTGCCCCCTCATTTTTTTAGTTGGCTCTCCTTACATGTGTCATCACTTCCACCCCTACTTCAGTTAACAGGCACACTTCTTTCACTCCAGCTAGCAAAGCTCATGCAGCTGGGCAGGGGAAAACTCTTCTCTTGCATGCCTGGGAATGGGATTCAGTTGTATTTTGTTGCAGAGTTGAAGCTGTACAATGCAGCTGGCTTATCTATATACCTAGTTTGTGTAGAGGGATGGAGAGAAAAAGGGAAATCCTTCTAATCACGTCATCTCAACAAGTCAGACACACAGGATTTAAAAAGCCAAATTTAGGTATTATCAGTAGAAACACTTGCCACTGCTGCCCCACTGAGCCTGTCTTATACACTGTACCAAATCTGTCTCAACAAAATGCTGCATTGCATCACCTCACAAGACACGAAGATCCTAAAAATCAGGATTTTGTAGGATGAGCTTGCACAAAATGTGTGTGCAAAACTGCCCTCTGCTGTTTAGATTAAGACCTGTGCAGACAAATGATGCATGGCCAAATCAGTTTTGAGCTACAAGGGTCCAAGATGCAAAGAGGCAAAACTATCTGACTTCATCTGTTTTCTGCCTCCATGCACACTAGGAATTTCATACATGAACACCATTCACAACTGTCTTGCAGCATGGACCATCCCGACAGATCTGTAGGTTGAAGCAACATTGTACCAGTTGCAACACTCTGTTAAGCAACTCTCCCACGATGGGTGAGCATCACCAGACATCTTCTCACCCCAAAGATGAGTTGAGAACATCCTCAGGGTGCAAGGGAAATGATGTAATTGCGGGTGAGTGCTGCAGGACATACATGCAGGACATGTTAAATCAAGGCCTGAGCTTTACACAACAGGAACAGAAACCGTACGCCTGGAATCAAAAGCTTATAGCACAGAGGCCTTTATGACTTAAGGATTACTAAGTTGCAGCGATGATCAGAAAACAGGGTAGCAAGCTCATCAAAAGATATCGAGTAAATATTCTGTAAAACTAGCCCCTGCTGCAAGGAAAGAAGAGAGAACCTGGGTTTTTTTTCACGAACACATGGAAATCACTATATTTTGAAAAAGCTGCCCATTATCTACTGCCAGTATGCTGGACACTTTGGTACAGAAACATCACAGAAGGGCCAGCTGTTTTCTATGGCTTCACTCACACATTCATACATGGATGTGGCAAATTCTGCCGTCTGAGAACAGCATCAGATATCCACATCTTCTTTGGGAAGTTCTAGTTTGGTACAAATGCAGAAAACAAGTATAGATACCCACACCAGTTCAATTTCTGGAGTGCCTCCAACAAAAGCTAGCCCAGTCCTCATGAATTAAGCACAAGTTTCAGCTCTTTGCAACAGGCTTTTGGTCAGTGCATAAAGAACACTGTAAGCTATGCTGGTCAGTGGAAACACACAAACTAAAAACCAAACCAAAACTTGGGTACAACAGAAGCCTTGAAGAATACTTTTTTTTTTCCACAACAGCCCTTTTCATATCCATACATTTAAATACACAGAAGCATGGGTGTACTATACAACATGCCTTTGAAACCATCACTGAAAGCACTTAGTGACCACTTCAAAGCTTCCCTTGATGTTTAACTCATGTTAACTGTAACACAACAGTCATGTAGGGCCACTGTTCAGCCTAGGGGACTTTAAACACACCATCAACAGATGTACAAATGAAATTTTAGAGATTCTTCTCAGTGCATAAATAGCTAGAGCTTTACTTTGATGATGGCTGGCTGGCCTCCTACACAGCAGGCCTGGGACTTCTCCGTTTTTCAAGTTAAGGGCAACAATAATATTCTGTCAGCCCCCAGGAAAAGGAAATTAATGCCAGATGATTCAGTGTGTGCCTGATCATTCTGGTTTTGGATTTGATTCCATTATCTAGAAAGCTTAATGGTGAAACATCAAAGGTAGTCCTGCATGATAATGAAACTAGCTGGGTGTTTTTTCTATAAAAGCTGCCTGAGAAGCTCATAACCAATGACAGAAGACTTCCCAGCATAAAACTAACAGACCTCTCATATTCTTTATGGGAAATCCTTTTAGTGCTGAAAACAAGTGCCTTATTCTTGGAGAACCACAGAAAAGAAGATGGCTCTTTCTGGGAGAAAGATTAGTAGTTTAACCTGCAGTAAAATAAGATTATAGATCTTATTCACCAGCAGCTGTGAGCTCAGTAGCAGCAAATACACAACTGGAACGGCTCACTTTCACGTCTTCTTAATTTGCACAGGTGAAAAGAAATACAGTACTACACAGAGCTAAGGTAATGGCATTACTGCTGCTGATGCAGTACCATCAATCACTACCACCACCCTTCTCATGACCCGTACTTTGCTTGTGTCTGAAACACCTGTGGGCTGTGCATGCTAGCTACACCACTGCCAGCCTGCCACTGTTGGAGCAACAGCAAATTCCCATTCTAGACAACATCTTCCAAGTCTTCAGTTTGTAAGGTATTAGCTTCACTGGGAGATTTGGAGAGAAAAAAAAAATTCAAGTCTTATTAAAAGGATTTATCATTCCAACTCTATTAGCCAAGGCACACAAAACAGGTATCAGAGCTTGCTCTGGCATACTAACCAGGTACTTCTGGGTTTTCAAGTAGGAGAATAAATTTTCATTTAAGGCTACATTTAAACCTATGCTATCTAAAATTTTGTTTGTATCTGACTTTGCAGGATCAAGAAAACTAAAAAGGGTTAGGGCAATATGTGTGTCTGTGATGCTTATTAAAACAAATAACATTTATAGACATAATCAGGGTATCACCAAGCCTTCCATCAAGATCAGAATTGACACCCAGGCTTGCTAAAAAACACTTAGTTCAGAAGAGATTTGTTGTAAGCTAAAAGGTGAATTCAAATTGCCATCATTACACCAAAGAGCGTAGAAATTTGTTCAGGTTTGAAGGAAGGGTGCTACTTTTGTCTTATGCTGTTTGGGTTTGTTTTTCAAGGCAGGATGGAAGAGTTTGATCTACCTTAAGACAATGTTAAAAGCTGAACTAAAAAGATATACTGAAGTGACCACCACCAGCAAGGACAGCAGGTAAATATGCTAACAGTTCTGTCAACATAACCTATGAATTCCTACTTTTTACTTATAAGGGTTAGAAAAGAAAAACTCCTCCAAAAAGCCTCATTAAAAACATAATCTTCTGCAATTTCACAGTAAGTGCAAAATAACTTTGTCCCTCTAAAATAAATTAAAAGAGCACCTCATCCATTGTCACCTGAAGAATATGGCTATTAAGTTTTACTTTTACCTTATGCTACCTGAACAATTCAAGGACAACGACTAAACTACAGCCAGCTGTTCAAGAAATTTTTGTTCACACCAGCCATTAACTTCAGTATTTGTCGCATTACAGAACGATTCGATAGCACCTCAAATCTTTGGAAATCGTGTTTTCAAGGGGTTAAGGGAAACTACTCTTCCATGGCAAATTATCTAAGCAGACTGACTCAGTAAGAAACATTTCTACTCCGAAACTCAGGTATTTGACTGCTAGGTCACAATCAGCTATCCACTTAACCTCTGAAAAATCCTGTATGAGGCAATTTCTGAACTGTTGAGGAGAATCTGCCTTTACAGAAACTTACACCAGGCTGAAATGAGATAGAGACAGATGAGAATGTTGGCTAGAGTGCTCTCAAAGTACCTCACTTCTACTTAGACTATGCCACCTTGTACCTTACTCATTAATTTATCAGCATCATTAGTACAAACTGTCAGCCGGTCTGAAAATTGACACTTCAAAGCATTCTCCTCAAGCTGAAAATCAGTCACCATGCCAAAAAGATAAAGCTACATTTTTAATTGTTTCTTCTGCCACCTGAGTGCTGATAGCTCAAACCCAGAAAACAGCAAAAGCCAATCTGTTTTGACATTTAGAAGATCCTATCCATGAAAAACTTGCTTTCACAAGTCCACTTCTGCTACTCACTTGAGTCTGTATATTATTTGCCTCCTTTGCACTAGCAGAGGAAAATTCACCACACCACACCAAAATTTTACAACATCCAATTCCATTAGCTTTAACTATTTACCCCAGGGATATCATTGTCTTACCTTATCAGTGTAATTTTTTTCTTAAGGCAAATGCCTTAAAAAGAATATTAAGAACCATTTTCTACGGTCTTGAAGACTAGAGACTGAAGTGTTAACTGTACATCTTGCAAAAAAGTTTCAAGCTTTCAAAAAACCACCTTTGTGCTCTTACAACCTGCCCCAGGTTCTATTCCAAACAGCTTTGTTTCAGACACCTGCATTAACAGAGCTTTCATGTTTGCCAGATAGTTTTGACTTGCATCATTTTACATGTTATTGTTCCTGACAGAAATGGATTTGTCACTCTTTCTGCAGCCAGCATCTATTACCATTGTGATTTGCTTGTCTTTCTAAGGTGATCTGTTACTGTTTAATGATCATATGTTTATTTTTTCAGGAAATGACACAAGGTTTTAAGCTTAATTAAAAGCATTGGAAGACCAGCCATAACATTAAAAATAAATTTTAATGTTGCAATTTTTAGATCATTTGCTCTGACACTCAAATATTCTGAAATTTAAAGTAGTACTATAGGGACACACAAGTGCAGATAAATCTTTATTGCCATAACTTTGTTTTTTTCAAAAATGAGCATTGGGTTTTCAATAGGTCGTAGTTTTATGCCTTATATGTACAACATTACAAGTGTGTATTTTAATAATAATGAAGTGATACTTTGATAACTCAACACAGTGTATTTATAAAATGAATTCTTATCAAAATACACTTTTCACTGGGATAATAAATAAAATCCTGCGAAACCCACCTACACAAAGTTAATTTTAACTCTGGTAGAACCCGATGTGGTACACAGTCCATTAACTACTATGTTTGCCCCTTTATCCCCCTACTGATGCTCATCTTCTGGGGTAAGAAAACTTTTTTTCCCCCCGTTGTGGTGTGACCTCATTCAACATCATCTTCAGCCAAGCACTGTGCACTTACAATTCTCTGTAAGAAGGAGAAAAACTCATTCACAATTACATAAAATTGACAGTAGGCAACTGATTATCAAGCAATGTAATTTTACACTGAACATTAAGCAGTGTAATTACTGAGCAAACTGATTAAAGTTAAAAATGGCAATCTATTTGACTTAAGTTTTTGAAGTCAGTTCCACAGAAATTACATACAGTACAATGCCTAATAAAGCCAAAGACAGATAAACAATATCCTATCAGCCTCAAGCAATGATCTCTGTGTGGTTTTGGTACTGTTCTCATAGGAAACATTTTTGCTCAATTGTTGCCCCTAACATTTATATCTCCTGTACCCGACGCTTTTTGGTGTTACCACTAACTATAGGTACCTTAACCTGAAATGTAACCAGGCCTGAGCTGTAAAAAGAGCTGACTGATACCCTGCACTGAGCCTCTGCTTTATGTCAGGTAACACCATTAGGGAGTACCCTTGCATTTCCAAGAACATAAAACATATTATTTATTTTACAAAGACTCACCTGCCAGCATATTACCAACATTACCTGCACAGTACTCAGACTAAAAAGGGAGGGCATTTTATACACAGATCTACTAACACTTTTCTCATCACGGAAACTCCCAAGCTTCCAAAATTGTCATGTGTTCTGGGGCTAGTTAACATTTTGTTTTTATAGCTGGCCCAGAAGCAACCGGGTAGCAAAAGCAACAGATTAATTTTAATGGACTTTCATAGCACTCACAGACACTTGTAGATATGTAATTTAATAAAAACCCAACAAACTCAAGACCCAGAGCATTGAAGTTACCGCTCTTCCGATTCCCCCAGCTTGTATTTGGCAAACAGTGGATTCACTTGTAGTATCAGAGCTGCAGTCAGATTCTCTACTTCAAGAGCTTAGCATACCCTACCCACAAGAGAAGCACTGTATTTCTATTTTATCCTGTTTGCTATTAATGCTACATGAAGATTTTCATATTCACTTTTTAATGTCTCAGGTGAAAAAAAAGCTTCTTTAAATCTAACTGAACGTATTAAAAAAAACAGATTACAAAACCCAATACTCAAGACTGATGTAGTGGATAAATTAAGTAGTTCAATTACTTTGAACCCCAAACAACACCGAACACTTCACATACCTGGCTTATTGTAGGGAGCTTAGTTAGAAGCATTTGAAACACTGGTGGTGGAAGAGTCTGCTGTAGAACTTGTAGTAGCTGCTGGGGCTGTCCACACACAGCAATGGCATTGGTCAAGTGATCAACACCTTTTTCATATTCACCTGTATGACAAATTATAATGTTTTGAAATCAACCTTCTTCCACACTGTAACACATTTACATAAAACACCCACCAACAGTGGATTAAACTCCTTGCTGGATCTTCCGAACACAAAAGGTTAGAAACAAGTAAGCAGATTTCCTAGAGGAATTTGACTCCCCCAAATATCTTAGTATATAAAAATCATCTTCTAGCAAAGGTGAAGAAAAATTATTTTACAATTTACCCTTCAGAAAAAAAAATGAAAAATGCCATCACCTTGAGCTAGCAGTTCCTCGCCAAGTTGAATCTCCTCAAGGAAAAACTTCTGAACCGCATCAGCATCTTTCAGATCAGGCAACTATGACACACAGAGTAAAAGTTAAGTTGGCCCTTAAACACCAAGTAATAAACAAGTTAGCAGAAAACATTCTCAACTGAAATCAAACATGTACACAACCACACTGTTACACTGACACTGGCAAAAAAATACCTGTCACCACTAAGTTAAATGTACACAGAATGTTTTTGAAAATCAGACTCAGGTCTCATATCACTGCATTGCAAATCTGTAGAGAGACAGAGCCTGAAATACCTCTATTCACTTTATTAAGTACACAATTTTGTAGCAAATACAAGTTCTAAGGTGTGTTACGTTTATAACAACTATATTTCTTACAATTGTTTAAGAAAAACCTTATCTTTTCTTCCTGATGATAAGGAAAGGGAAATCAAATACTTATGGCAAAAAACCATATTACGCTCGGTTATACATGTATCCCATCAATGATTTTAAGTCTGAAAAGTCCTTGCGCATACCACAAAAACACCACAAAAATCACACAGTGAATGTTGTACTTTCTAGTACAACTCCTCTGTCTGAAACAAAAAAGGAACAATCATTTTTTTGAGCATTAAAAAAAACTAAAGACTGTATATTTGCAGAAGTATTTGCAATGCTGCAATCAAAAAAATCCAGCTGTAATGCTGGATTTAAATAAATCTTACAAATAACACAAATGAAACATCTTTCAAAATAGCACTGCATTATTGAACACATTATTACCTTGGAAAGCCCTGCTCTCTCTTTGGCAAGCTTCTGTTTCTTCCTTCCTGTAAGAATAAAAACATTTTACACTTTTAATTTGCAATTAAAAAGCCCTTCAGCTTACAGTTTGAAACCGCGAACAAATCAAAGTTATTTTCAGAATAAAAAACTGCTACTGTGTTCCAAACATCGAAGACTGAACACAAGACCGCAGCCCCACTCTCTGCGACAGAACATCATTTAGAGGTCTAATGAGGGCTGGCAGTCGCACACCGACCCAAAATGGCAACTCTTCTCCTGCGGCTACGGCAAACACCAACCGTGCAGGGCCTGCAGCACACACACCTCGAGCACTAGAGGCACACAGAAGCAAGGAGAATTAGTCATACAGGAATTCTCTACAGGATTCCTAACAATAAGCCACACAAGAGCTGTCTACAAGTCAAAACTATCTAGTTTTGAACTGTATGGTGGACCACCAAGAGGGACTTCAGCAGGTCACAGCACTTTCCCAGCTGCTTTATAGCAAAGGCTTGGGAACCAGGTAATAGGTGGCAGTATCTCATCATCCCACAGCAAGAGCAATACTAAGGGATACATTTCTGAAACCTGAGGAAAGCAAACCTCTAGAGATGGAACAAACATGGACAGATTTAATTGCCCAACCTACAGGTAAAAAAGTTGGTCTGCTACTAAAGTTGTACCACTCCAGCAAAACTATGGTAATTAAAATGATTGTGTGATAAATGTAATTAAAATTAAAGTGGCTTTTAAAGCAACTAGGCAGGTATAAAGGTATTTTTATAGTAGCAGCTATTCATACAAGAAAGAATAATTACACTAATACTGGTAATTTCCTTAGAATAATCATTCTTCTAAGTCTTCAGCTCATCAACTGAAATAGTTACACCAATAAAACTTCTAAATACAGCCTGTGGTTAAACTCTCCTCTCACCATTTGTTCTCGGTGCTCAGAGGACAACTGTATTTACAAAGAACAACTGTTACACAGCCCTGATTTTTCTTTTGAGACAATTTTACAAGCTGGAAATACTTCTAAATATGACTAGCAGTTTTAAATCGTAATTAAAAATTTTCAATTGTCCACACGATGAAGACACTTGGGAATGCTATTTCCTAGCAGAGTGATAACACAACACATAACATTTGTGGAAACGATCAATCGATCTTTATATAAAGGGAGTTCACATTCTAACTACATGGATCACCCTTTCTACCTTTTACAACACCTTAATAACCCTTAGCACCTGGATTTCTACAACTTATTGACCTGTGTACATTATTTTACAACATTATATACAGAAAAATGCGTTGTATAGAACTGTAGCGTACTACAATTTTATTATGGTTATTTTTGTTATTAAAGAATTTATCTTGAAAATCAGTGCTAATAAAACTAGCTCACTCCAACTTTTCTGAAGCATTAATTTCCACAAAACTTGAAACTGCGCTACTATGTAAACAAGTTTTGCTAATACATAAAATCTTTAAGATTAAATTAAAACAAAAGTAATATTTAAATGTTTCATTATCAAAACAAGCCACATTGTAACTGTAGTGCATTCAGTGAAAACACCAAAAAGAAGTACAAAGAGTAAGACCTTAATATTGATATAACATTTTCAGGAGAAAATTGTGTTTTCTTGGCTTGACTATGACATCTTCTAAAATGTTATAAAAGGTATCATTCACCAGGTTAAGCATTCAGAGATGAAGAAATACAAGACATGCAGGTAACTGCAACTATTTAATAAAAGCTTTTGACCACTGATCACACACATTTGAAATCATGTACTTTAACCTGAAAATGGTAAAGGAATATGAAGAATCACCAAGATTTAGACACTGAACACTGATCTACTGAATCTTTCAAGTCTGATTACTGTGCAACTTTTCTTCTTCTTAATACTCTTCTACAGATCTCTTTAAAAAGTCCACTAGATAAATCAATTACAAAACCCAGATAACTCTGATGGATATTTAGGAATTCTTCCTATATTGTTTGGTAACGCTGGTTTCAAAATATCTTTGTAACCAAAAGCCAAAAGTTACATTTGTAATACCATAAGCAAAAAGCAATGCCTTTGAGGGGGGGAAAAAACAAATCTAAAAACCTCTCCAAGTTTGTTTTCCCTTAGGGACCTCCAAGAAAGTGAAACACTTCAGAGATAACCACATTAAAAATGGGAAGGGTAACGTTTTATAGAAGGAATCTTTATTAACATGGAAATGCAGTGTATCCACCCAAAACTCAAAGCTGAGCTGCAGCTCTTGAACTGCACAGGACCTGCAGGCCCTCCAGGCCAGCCCTTGTACACCAGGAGCAAGTTTCCAGCATGAACCAATGGATAACCTGTCCCACTGGCATGGGTTGCAAAAAGCCCCAGACAGCCCCAGCAGCTTCCCAACCAGTCCCACAAAGGAGCAGGAGGAACAAAAAGCTGTTTGCACTTTCAGCTCCCATCCGTGCAGTCCTGCCTACTGCCCTCCTCTCGTGCCACTGTCCAGGCAGAAGGTGCAAAATTCAGCTTGGTCGGGAATTCCAGCTGTCTCTGAATGAGGAGATCAGTGACACAACACTTTCTATTTTATTCATTCAAGAAGGCAAATAGTAAACACATCTAAATTCTTGTAATCTTAAAATATTGCTGGGGAACCTAAGCAGATGTTTATGGCTTTGCTATCTGTTGGTCCCAAGACTAAATATGGACATGCCCCCAAAGCAGAAACACCAAAACCTAAAAAAATCCGAACAAAAAACTCCACCCACAAAACTTGCTAAATGAAATTAAAACATCTGGAAAACCAAAGTGAAGTAGTTCCTCAAGCCTTCCAGAAACTTTCAGGAAATCAAGGGTTTTTTCCCCCAAAACCCGAATCTAGCCACCTCATTTTTATGCTGGGCCTTTGCAACGAAAACTTTGGTCCTAACACAGCCCACAGGGACGTACAATGTAACTGCGAGGCCAAAACAAAATAGTTGTTCTTTATTTGCCAGCATGCACTTGACCAAATATGACAGGCAATCCACTGACTTGTCAGAACTCCTGTCCTTCCCAAATTCTGCTGACATTGCATCACAGAGGCTGAAAAACAATCTTATCCTAAGAAGGTTAGTGAAAAAAACGTGCTGTAAAGGTGGTTTCTACAAGTTTTCCATCACATGCTCCCACTATTGCCCAACAAATGGAGCACTTTCATATAAAGAACTGCAAGTGGTTGCTGCACTGGACCTTTTTGGCCAAATATTTTATAGCCCAAGCCTTACTGTTTACCCAACAGTAGAAATGCTGTAATAATCAGATCAGTGGCACCAGTGCTAGACCACCCATACTAAAGAATCTGTTACACTACTACAAAAATAAATTAACCCAAGTTCCTTAATATTAACTAAAGCCTTACAACTGAAAGCAGACAGTGCATCATGTGCAAGGACTGTAAGTCATACAATGATGTTCACCAAATGACAACTGCCACCCTGCAGCAAAACACTATGGATGTGTTTCCCACTTCAAAGAACGTGACAATTCTTAACCAGAGTGATTCTAAGGTTTATTCATAATGTGACTGGGTAGAGGCTCAGCTAATGAAAACCTGGACTGCAAGAATCTTATGTAATTCGGTATTTCTCCTATGATGAATTTGGCATCAAAGGAAAACCCCAGGGCTGATTATACAGCCAAAAATCGAGTCTGCTTGAGCAAGACAAGCACATAGCATTTTACTGTGCTAGAACTTCCCAATGAACGACTTGCACTGCAGGGAAAAAAGTGCTCAGAAGACACACAAGAGGTATGTGCGTAAAATACTACACACATGAGCAAGGGCCTGAAGATGAAATATTTGACAGACACGGCTGGCTGTGGAGGAGCTTTCAGAGAGCGGAATTAATTTGCTGTTAAACATCAACACAGGTCACTCAACAATTCAATCCATCAAGGCAGGACCAAAGCTCTTTGGTTGCGTTTAAATGTTATCAGGTAAATATTCATTTTCAACCCATCTAGTTATTGACTTTTCCATCCATTGAACTGCTGATCACGTCATGTTTGCTTGCCAGGGAACTTCACCTTAATGGTAACTTCTTATCTTCAGAGTAGTTACCAAAGGAAATAGACATATTCCCACGATAGAAACAACTCAGCACAGCAAACATCGGCTTATTTCTCATGATTTGAGTCCCTTCAGTGCCTATGCTTACAACTCCATTTAAAACCCTCACTAACTATTAAAACATTTAAAAAAATGTTGAAGACGTGAAATAATGAAGAGCCACGGGAGAAGAGCTCTACATTTTGGATTAATCAACAGTTTTCTCTGGCATTCATTCTTATCCTGGAAGCCAACAGCAGAGCTGCCAGGAGGGTTTAGAATGCAGCCGATGAAATACCTGAGAGCTGCCACCGACCCCTGTCTCACACAGCAACAACTTCACTGTAAGAGATCACTGGTTTATCTGCTCATCTTCCAAGAGTGAAAAAGAATAAGTGACACCACATAAAAGTGGTGGCTATAATAGCACAGCTGAGCCTGTAGGAGAGCAATATGTGAAAAAAAAAAAGGGGGAGGGGAGGTAAGTTATTTCCAAGCCAAGCATCTGAGGCGGAAACTACAAGTTACCCAACACCTACAGCAAAGGACGACCCTGCCCAGAACTACCTGAAAGGAGGGGGTAGTGAGGCGGGGGCCGGCCTCTGCTACCGTGCCTGCAGTGAGAGGGCCAGAGGAAAAGGGCTTAGGCTGAGACAGAGAACGTTCAGATTAGACATTAGAAAAAAATATTTTCATTGTTCGGGTGGTCGGGCATTGGAATGGGTTGTCCAGGGAGCTGGTGGAGTTACCGTCCCTGGAGGTGTTCAGGAGACGTCCGGATCTGGTGCGGAGTGATGCGGTTTAGTGGATTAAGGTTTACAGTGGGACCGCCGGGCGGATAGCTGGGCTGGATGGCCCTGAAGGTCTCTTCCAACCTTGGTGGCACGGACTCTGTGCCCCGGCCCCTACCTTCGGTGCAGGGACAGCGAAACCCCACAAGCACCGAGGGGGCCCGGCGGGGTCCGGGGGCGGCGGGGCCAGGAGCGGCCCTCGCGCGGGCGGGGCGGGTGGGGGGGCAGAGCAGGGGGCATTGAGGGGAGAGCGCGGGGGGGGCGGGACGGGACGGGAGGGGAAGGGGCGTCCCGGGACACTCACGCTCCCGCAGCCGGTTCTTGAAATTGGGGTCGCTTCGCCTCTTGCGGTCGAAGTAGATGCAGTAGCCGATGAAGAGCGCCCCGCAGAGCCCCGCGGCGATGGCGCTGGTCCTGCCCACCATCATGGCGCCCCCCGACCCGCGCCCGCGCGAGCTCCGCAGGCACCTTGGGCCGAGCGGCCAAAGGAAAGGACCCCTCCGCGCTTCCGCTTACGTCATCACACGGCGGCGGCACAGGGTGCCTCCCGCAGTGCCTGCAAGAGGCGCGGAGCGCATGCGCGCGGCGGCGGGAGGCGCGGCCTCAGCAGCGGCGTTGAGCGCCGGGAGAGCGAAGGGCTGGAATAGCAACGCCTGACTGGGACACAGGCACGGGGGCAAGAGACCTTGGGGATCATCCAGTCCAGCCTATGACCCTGTCAACTAGACCATGGCACCAAGTGCCACATTCAGTCTTTCCTTAAACACCTCCAGGGACAGTGAATCCACCACCTCCCTGGGCAGCCCATTCCACTGTCTGATGACCCCTTCTGTGAACAGATTCCCCCCGATGTCCAACCTAAACCTCCCCTGGCACAGCTCATCCCATCACTTGTTACCTTGACCCCCACCTGGCTACACCCTCCTTTCAGGTAGTTGCAGAGAGTGATGAGGTCTCCCCCAAGCCACCTTCTCTCCACGCTAAACACCCCCAGACGTTCCTCATACGACGTGCACTCCAGACCCTTCACCAGCTCCATTGCCCTTCCTTCCACTGGACAACCACCAAACCCGCAAAACAAGTGTATCTTGGTAACAATTACCATTTCATCACACCCGAGTCTGCTGTGAGTCGCTTTTCCTGTAGTCATTTTGGGTAATCCTACATAACTCCAAAAGAAACAGTTCATAGTTAACCTCTGCAGCAAGACATCAGCTGGAAGTGGATTCTTGGAACACAGAATAAAATCATGCAACACCTCACACTACCTGCTGGGAAAAGCCAAATGCCCCAGAGCAAACACCAAGAACGACTACAGCTGTATTAGCAAACAAAATTTATGACAAAACACTCTTACATACATGAATCTTTGTGACACTAATTAGCATTTTTATCTGCTCGATTTTTATCAAACTTCTGTTTGTTTTTTCCAGCTTTTTTTCTAGGAATAGTTTTTAGTCTTTTTGGTTTAGTGTTCTTCTTCAACGGGGTTGCTTTTTCACCAACAAAAGAATCATCAGAGGAGCTCTTCTTTTTTGTTGTAGTAATAACTGTAGCCTTGGGAGCACGAGACCGGCCTGGAATTTTCTGTGGTGCTTTCCTCTTGTCTCCTGTGCGCTGCACTCGTATCTTTCTTCCCATCAGAACAGAGTTGTTGAGTTTCAGAGCAAGATGTACAGCATCTGTGTTCTACAAAAACAGACATGGAGTTTAAAAGTAGCATTACTTCCAATTCATTGCTTTCAAATTAATGGTTACCTTTCTTCAAAATTTGTAAGTAGGATTTTACAATGAAGAGCAAACTGCTCTAGTGAATGACACAAGATCTCTGCTCAGGAACACCAGCACACCCATGCAGCCCACACATCGAGGCACAGATACTTGACAATGGGCTACAGAACAGCTTAAATGAGACACAAAAGTCAGGTGCAGAGAGACAAAGGAGAAACTCGGAGAAAAGAGGTACTGAGCTGCAGGAAATACACTAAGGAAGATGAGGTTGGGAGATTATGAGAAAGCAAGTCGTACTGAATCAAAAATGGAGAGTCTGTAAGCAAACCAGTTGCAGGAAAGAACTCCACTCACATTTAGACACATAAGAAGTAGTAGAACATTGCAGTTATACCAAACAAACTCATCTGTCCCTTCTTTAAGACTTTCCCCTAAAGTCACTTCTTTCACCTCGTTTTACAACTTTTACTTGTACAAAATCTGCAATAGTTTGTTTTGTGTCTGCTTCCACAGAACTGGTCTTCCAAGCTGCTTTTAACATACACAACAGCATTACCATTTAACATCATACACCTACAAGCACATACAAACCTCAAAAAGTTACTAAAAAGGTAAAAAAAATGCTATAAAGGCAGATCCCAATTCAGATTTTGAATAATTCCCACTGTGCTGGAGCAGGCCATGCACACATACCTCAAAGAGAACGTATCCAAAGCCTTTTCCCAGGCCAGTCTTTCTGTCTCTCACAACTCGCACTCCCACGACATCTCCACAGACATGGAAGTGTTCTCTCACAGCATCATCAAGGATGTCTGCAGGCAAGCACAAGGGAACAGATCTCTCTTCAGCAACAGGCACAGCTTTAAAAGCCTGGCCCAAACCCAAATATTTCATATTCACCAATTCAGGTACATGGTATCAGTGGTTCAGAAAAACCCCAGCAAGTTAACAATGCAGACTTTATAAAAGGTTATTTATTTTGATAGTTACCCGTTCTCCTGCTTTGAAGAGTACAACATAAATCACAAATAAGAATGAAGGCAAAGACTGAAATAAATTTTTCAAATAATTTCATTTATGGTTGGAACATAGTGGAAATTATGATGCCTGCTACATTTTTGTAGCTCCTTCTTACGCCAACATTTCTTTCTAAGAATTAGTGCTGATGATAATGAGCTTGAGCTGGCTGTTCTTCAAGTCAAATGCTCACTGACTGAGCCGTGAATTTTAGCTGAATGGGGAAGAAGGGAGAAGCTTCTAACCACAGCTGCTATACAATTATTTTGATAATAACTGGATGTGCAATGCTTTCTCCATCTCACACCTACAGAAACAGACAAGTGTGATGTACCATCACAAAAATACAGGTTATTCTCTTTTTTGAATAGTTATGCTTCATACAATCCCCTTACATAGATATCAACATCTCTCTATTAAGGGGAGGGGCTGAACTTAATATGATGGGTGTAACTACAGCAACGTGACTTAGATGTGCTGAGAAAGGTTCAAGCTGCTGAAGTAATTTCAGAGCATGGCAAATCACAGAGTCATAGAATATTCTGAGTTGGAACAGACTCACAGGGATCATCGAGTCCAACTCCTGGCCCTGCACAGGACATCCCCAAGAATCACACCATGTGCCTGAGAGCATTGTCCAAACACTTCTTGAACCCTGTCAGGCTCGGAGCTGTGACCACTTCCCTGGGCCTGTAATGTCCAAACTTTTTTCTGCAGCATGTACACAGGAACACACAGTCCTGACACAAGCTCTACACAAGAGGCACTAGTAATGTCACCACAATCAGATTTGTCACCTGTCAAGGTTTTCAGACAGGTCAAGTGTTATAGACTGATGCCTGTTTATTCCAGTGTTACTGTCGCAGTACATGATACAGGCTCTGCACCAGGCCACAGGCACAGGGCAAGCCTTCATCCAGAGTATTTACACATCCACGGGACCCCCAAGACAGATGCTTGTACCGAGCACCCTGACTCCTTAATACCCTCACAAAGACCACACCCAATGACAATCCCTTCATCTGCTCTCCAGTCTGCTCAGAAGCAGCTGAGTATTCCTCAAGCATTGACCTCAGCTGCATGGTAAACACCTCCACAGGGGTCACAATTGATCACCAAGAGCCATCTGGGTATTAACCCTGTGGCTCACAAACAGCATCAAAATGAGAAACCATCACTGTCCATCACTCCAAATTGGTTCACGACAGATACCGGTACCCCTTGAACAGTTTAGAAAGCTATGGCCTGTGCAACTTAGTCATATTTATTTAAAAAACATCAAGTGACAACAAGAACTAAAGCACTTGCAGAGCTACCTACAATAAAGAAAACAATCAACTTGCAGAACTTGACAAAAACTTACAACCCCTTTAGGTGTTTCCATTAACAAACAAAAATTAATACCAGCAAAAGATATTTAGCTACCTAAACATGCTATCCTAAATATAAAGAAATAAAAAGCCCAATGTCAAAATATTCCATAAATGTTAAGCGATGATGCATAACAACCCACTTTTGACCTACCATATGGCAGATTTCCCAAGAATACAGAACGTTTATTGTCATGCTAAAGAAAACAAGAGAGACAAGACAGTAAGTTATTTGTAACAGAAAAAAACCCCAAACAACCAAACAAAAACAATAACCCCCCCAACCAAACCAGAAAAGAGTTTTTCCAGACACACATCTTACTTACTGAACTGGTTTTAGATGCGGTGTCAACTCTGATGTGAAATCCACTAGCAATTTCTGTTCCATTCCTTTTGTAGCCAAAAGCAAAAAGTTTTAAAAGTGAAATGAGTGTTATTTAACTTAGAATGTCACTGCATTCAAAATGCAGTGTATTCAAAATGAAAAGTTACTTTTAAGTTTGAACAAACATCTTGATTCAAGCAAGAGCAGGGAGATTGTTTAAATTTAGCTGCAAATCTCCCTGAACTATCTCTTCGACAGGGAACGAGGAACAAAACTGAGACTTACTCCTTCAGAGCCTTCTCGGCGCCACATTCTTCCTTAAAGACAACATAAGCATTAACGAACTTTGCATTGGGGTGCAGCTTGTGCCTGGAACATGAAAAGGACACGTTACTGTTTAAATCATTTTGATGCTGTGCAATGCACAAACACTTCTTGTTGGACACATTTATGCCTCTGCTCGTTTCGTGCACACTAACAGCTTCATTTCTCTTATAGGTCAAGCTAGCCCTGTATGTGCAAGGGTGTCCCACTGTTCATCTTGTACAGCCTGTCTATGCATCCTGAGCAAGCTTCCTCAGCTCATAAACGTATCCAAAGGAATTAAAGACTATTAGTAACTTTCTCCTTCCTAAAATATAAGAAATGCAACCTCAGATAACAAATTACTAGTACACATAGCACATCATTCTTTATCACTTGTCAAGAAAACTTAACACACGCAAAGGTAATGACAAAAGACAAAACCCCACAAAATACATTAAAAAAGACCTAATATAGCCAAACTTTTAGAAACCAACACACAAAAATTATTTTGGCCTTGAAAAATAAAGCACGACATTCACAAGAGGAACCTACTTGATTGCTGCTACCTTTTTGGATATAGTATCTTCTGCTGGAATCTTTAAGATAAAAAGAACTCGAGTTAGGTGGGCCTACTGTGAACTTATCACAAAGACTTGTGCTTGAAGACAAACAAGAATTCAACCAGTGCCATTCCCACCCAAAGCAATGTAGCCAGTACAGTGAGCAAATGATGGAAGTGGCTC